GTTCAAAAAAGGTTTGCAGGAAAGATGCGGAGCTATCCAAGATGATGGAATACTGTAGAGATGACGACGACTAGATAACGTGGGAGGCAGATGTTTGCTGGCGTGTGGGCTGGGGCATTTTCAGCTCAACGACCCGTCATGGATACGCCGAGGCCAAAGCCGGTCGCACCAGGTGCAGGGCTGGCAGGAGTGGAAGGACCGCCAAGCGTCCACTGTCTGCGCAATTGTTCGCACAGAGATCTGAAAGCGGTGGCAGAGCCCTTTTCATGCACCATGTGGCAGCTGGTCGAGTACATGACGTTTTCGCGTTGGGCCGAAGCGCCGCTCTTGCCCGAGTGGTTGCTCAATGCCGGGCTTGCAGCTCCGAATCGACTACCGTTGGATCCCACGCTGAGCGCGGGCGAAGCTCCCATATTGGTGGCCGTGTGGCTTAGGGACATGGCGGCGAATTCGACCCGGAAGCGCAGAGGCTTGGAAGCAGAGATGCTTCCTCCTCCATCCCTGATCTCGGGCAAGGAGCACTTGAGCACATTGGCGTTTTCCGAGTCCTCCACGTACACTTTTGCACCTGGACACGTCTGCAGGATGCGCTTCACCTCGTTGTGCGTCACCGAAAAGTTTTCGACGGAGTACAGAGTGTGATGCACCGTCTTCCATTGGAATAGGCTGGTGAACCAGCTCTGCTTGGGGCTGTTTGGTGCGCCGCCCGAACTGCTTGCTACCGATGCTGGCGTACCTGGCACCGATGCATTGGCTGCCAAGGGGTTCTGCACATTCTTGTTGAGCGTGGCAAGATCCAGTCCAAGTCCTGCATTCTTCTGCTGTTGCAGACGCGTCGGACCTCGCGCACCAGCGCTACCAGCTGCCAAGGCAGCCTGGCGTGCAGCTCCAGCGTCTTGGAGACGCTCGTAAGCGACAGACGAACGAGCAGACTGAGCTTCATAGGCTGCTGTCTGAGTCTGATCAGCCGTAGAGGAGCTCTTGCGCCTCACACCCAAAAGACTGCGTCTTCTGCCCAAAGTCGGCTGGCGTTCGACTGCAGGCGTCGAGTCGTTCTTGAAATGGAAGATGCTATTCGGACGCGAGCCCGTCGGGGCCGCAGGCTTGGGAACTGCACGGGTAGAAGCGCGGTGCTCTTTGTCCACTACCGAGAGAGGAGCAGTGTTCACCGCAGGGCTGGGGAACGTCGGTGGCATGGGCGAAGTTGGGGTATAGGGATAGCCGCTAGACTCTGATCCGCTCTGAACGCTACCGTGATCGCCCGCATCATCGCTGTCCTCGTCAGCATCTTCGAATTGGTTCTGGTGATCGTCCTCGCCTGTAGGGATAGCCATTGGGCGAGCCCCGATACCAGAGTTTGCGCGGCTACGGCTGCTCTTGGAGTTCTGTCGAGAGACGTTTGGGCGCGCTTGCGCTGTGTCCGAGCTTCCAAGGTTTGCAAGCTGTTCAGTGATGTCCTCCCAGATGCTTTGACCGTTCGCCTCTCCTCGACTGCTGCCACCTCGAACGATGCTTGCGGGGCGTCCAGCCGTAGATGCCTTGCTCGGAGACGTAGACGTGCGCGCAAGAGGCTTTGGTGTCAGCTCAGGCGTGCGCACCGTGTTAGCCCGCGATGGCGTTCTATCGTCAGGTCTGCTCGGGGAAGTGTTGGGGCGAGAGAGAGTGACGCCCTTCACTGGTGTACGATGAGCGTCTTCTTCACCGCTGGCACGCGTAGGAGAAGGCAGCGGCTTACGACCCGTGTCGAGCGCGTTGCGATCGGGTGAGCGTCCTCCGGTACGGGGTCCAGCAGGAAATCGACGAGAGTCGATAGAGTTTGCACGACTTGGCGTTGGCGAGGCGTTTGCTTGGCGACCTAATGTCGACACGAAGCTTTTGGCGGGCGAGCTAGGCGCAGAGCCGTGAGCGTATTGCGGATGAGCGGCACTCAATCGGTCGTTCTGAGCGCTGCTAGGCTGAGCACCTCGCACCGGAGAGACAGGGCGAGAACCGTGCTGTGCTGCTGCATTTGCCTCTATGGATGAGCCAGACGAAGTGGAGCCATCAGCGCGTGCTGAGCGCGAGCGCGTAGAAGAGGACGAGCCGTTATCGTTGGAGCGACGGGGACGCGCGCG